GACCCTGCGGAGACCCCAGCCCGAGGCTGTGCCCCCACTGCAGAGGAAGGCAAACCCCGCCCTGGTCCAGACCAGTCTGAGCAGGGGTAAATCCCTTCCTGCCCCAGTGCATCATTGGGCTGAGCAGGGGTAAGACCCTCCAGCCAGGACCCTGCAGGGTTGGAGCCAGCAGCAGCCCGTGCTCTGCGGAAAGCAACCCCCCGCCACCTGTAGCAACGGGGCGGGGGAATAATTCACAGCCCCATGTGGCAAAGCCCAGGAGAGCCAGACACCACCGCCCTGCCCTGTCACCTGGGTACTGCAAACACCACCGCACGGCACCGCCCCCCCGCTGCGCAGCCAGAGCTCCCCCGTTCACGTCCACGTCCACGTCCACGTCCACGTCCCCACCCAGGTGCATTAATCCCCAAGCCCGGCTGGAGCTCCCTTCCTTCTCTGCTGCTGAGCAGGGTCCTCTCAGCAGCCACCTGCTCTGGGCTGCAGCTCTTTCCCGCCCCCCCGGGCAGTTTGGGGAGGGGAGAGCAGCTCCTGGGTTTCCAGGTGTTGCTCTTGACCATGCACTGCAGCCAGCCCTGACCAGTGACTGCCCGACCCCCCCGTGACGCCTCCAGCGACGGCGAGTCCCCCTTTCCCTGGCGTCTCCCCCACGGCCCTGCAGCAGTGGGAACCGCGGGAGCTGCCCGTGGCTCCGGGGCGGCTGCAGGAACCCAGGCCTGCGAGCAGCGTTTGGGGGTTGGAGGTGTCCGACCTTCCCCAGCTGCCTTCACCCCGTGCTGTGCACTGGGGCAGCCAGTCCCAGCAGCGTTCACCTGCCCAGGTCTCCTCTGCAGCACTGACCAGCAGCAACACCCTGCGTCCACCTGGGTCACGAGGCAAGAGCCCGGGGCAGGTCCCTGCAGGCCCCACCGGACCCACCCCAGGCCTGGGCCAGCAGGGGCTTGCACGTCCCCGTGTCGCTGCACTCCCAGGGGCTTCTCTCCAGCCCCACTGGCTCTCACCCAGCACCCTCCACTTTCATCCTGCTCCTCACTGTGCCCGGCAAGACCCTGCACGTACTGGAGAGCCAAGATGCGGGTCCCAACCTCAGCCGTGGGCTGGCGCAGGAGGAAGGGCCCTGCAGGTGTGCGGGGGGGGGGGGGGGGCCCCCCCCGCC